CTTGAAAATAGTGAATCTACAACAATTTTGCACCTTTAAATAATTGTAAAATTAAATAATTAATTGCAATTTTAAGTGCTGATTTACTGGCCTTGGCGGTGAAGGAAAACATCGTTAGGAAACCTGCATGTCTGGGATACAAAAAAAAATATTTTGAAGACGTGAAATTCACCAGCAGCATGCATTAGTTCAGCGCAGTTGACATTTTCTATTCCTAAACCCTCTATGTAATTAATACAATTAAAACTAAACCTAAGAATACCTCTGTAAATCTTCAAGACAGTAAGTTCGTTCTAAGTAGATTGGACCAAATGTAATAATTAAACATCTGAATGTAATCCGGGTTAACTCTGATAGCGGGATTTCAATCACCTCAGTCAACAGTGAGCATGGGTGTTTGAAAGCACCCGAAACGTCGGGTAATAAAATTAAGCAAGTTAAACGCGAAAATATTTTATAATCCATTTGCCGCCATTATTAAAATAGCAGCTTAATTCTTATGTGTTTCGTATGGTGAGTGTAGAGAACCGAAGACCATTTTTACTGGAAACGAGGCATTCCATCTAAATCCTCAAGGGTGAAAACGCAATCGCATTTTGACTCTTAATTGAGGATTAATGTAGATGTGTATGGGCCACAGCATCCACTTACCATCAGGTGGACTGTGTGCTCGTTTGTCACCCTTATTCTATAAAAAAAATAACTGCCTCGTAGCTCATTCAATCGGGCTTTGAGGCAACAATCAAATGCAAATGATGACTGTGTGGAAGTTTGTCGCCCATTTTCTACAAAAAAATGTCCCATTGTCGCCTGGTATGACACCCATGGTGCGAAATGGTGTAATGGATATTCTTATGCTGCTCATATGTGTGATTCACAAATATGAGTATGTCATATTTGTGAATAAATAGACTTAGCCGTGTCCAAGTCTATAATGTTCACAAATATTACAAGTAAAATTTAATTCTTACTACACGGCAAAATTCATTTCGCGAGCATTGATTGTTAGTAAAATTATCCCAAACATTCTGTTTCAATATTGTCTGCAATTTTTTTCAATCACCTACCCTTAATCATTGAATAAATTATAATGAGATTTCTTCGCAGCAAATTCCCTGAAACGCAAACGTCAACAAGTTTTAAAAATTGACACGATTTTTCCTTTTGACACCAATACTACGATCTTCTTTATTATGTTACTTAATAAATGTATCACTCCGTAGAGATTTACGAAATTAATATGAATTGATATTTTTTTTCTTTTATGAATGTTTAATTTTCTAAAATATTTTTTATTCTTAGTTTTATTTATTTGTGTTACTTTTATGAAAATTCGTTAAAAAAGCTGCAAAATCTTAAAAAGTATGATTTTAAAAATTGACAAAGCGCACACCCAGGTACTACAACTCACCTAAATTATGTATTACATTGTTCATTTACCTAAGTAAATTATGTATTAGATAAAACCGCAGCCTTCAATCAAAACTATTTTGAAATAAGCATGCAGTCAAATGCACTTTAGACTGCTATCGTCGGTTAAAAGTAGATTTAACCGGAAACCAGTTCTAACTAATATATCCAAGGACCACTAATATTTCCCTTGGCACAAATCCAAAGCACAAAAAAGTGCTTTCACTTTTTTATGAATAACTAAGCTGTTTGGCACATACTCTTAATATTACAAATACTTTGAACTTCTATTTCTTTTGTAAATATTCTAATAAATTTTCGCTAATACTTAATTTTTCCTCGACCTCATTCTTCAGACAAGCTCACTATTGTTGCTATTTGATTTTCAACTACTACGTGACCCAAAGGTTTTTCTACATCGATTACGACGTCATCCATCATACCAGCCTTACCGATTGTTTTGGAAGTATGAAATGATTTTCGTTTAATGGGATTTGATGTGTAAAAATATACCTCTTGAGAGTATTTTTGATCTATTATGTCGCGTATAAAAATATCGCAAAAATTCTTAGTCACTTTTAGAGTTCCATAACTCAAGAGGGAAAAAATGGAAGTCTTATAGGGTAACTTTGTTGGCCGTCTGTTTAAGACCCTATCCTATTTCTCAGAAACAGCAAGACGTATCAATTTAAATTTCGTATGAAATGGGTAAAATCTACCATTTCTTGGAGTTGCAACAAATTCAAGCATTCGAAAAATACAACCATTACGGGTAGATACCAGCTATTCATTGGTCATATTTCATAAAAATACTTTTTGCGATTACAAAGTTACGTTATACTTGTAATATCGACCGTAATGTAGACCAAAGTATGGAAGAACATTATTTTCACTCCAAGGTTAAATTTGTCCCATAATCCAACTAACCTTTTAATTAGAGAAATGTTCGATGCTGATGTACGTTACCTATAATTCCTGGGATGGATCTTTCCATCAAGTTTTACGAATCCCTACTGCTGTTATTCGCACTTGTCCTATTTTTTATTGAAACTACCAAAAAAAATTGTTCATTATCCGAAATTTTTTATAAATAATAAATCTGTATAAAAGGCACTGAAGCCAAATTAGTAGTTTTTAGAACGTTTGTCTGTCTGTTTGTCTGCGTAATCACGGTTTACGCAAAAACTACTAAACATATTTCCTTTAAAAAAATTGTGTAGTTTATTAGAGATCCGAGTCAACTTATAGGCTACTTTTTTTCGATCACGGAACTTCAAAATAGGAGAGTTAAGTATTTTCCTTCCTTTAGAAGTTAATTTCTATTTTATATGATTGATATATTTTTAAAATAAATAAAATATTTGTAACTAAAGTCAAAAACTTGTTTTAACCGTTACAAATTAAATTTAACTGCGTAGACAATCTACTTTTCACTTTTTCAAAACAATATTTACTAAGGGGCTGGACTCAATTTCTACCTAGGAGTCCATCTGTGCAGGTACCATTCACATACTGCTATACTATTTCTGTAGCCAAGCAGTAGTACTTACACTACTGGGCTCTGGTCTAAAAGTTACAGAGAGAAACATTTTTTTAACTTTCTGCTTTGAAAATTGATAATTTTTAAAAGTAGGAAGTTATAGATTTTGGTCCGATTTTGAGAATGCAAATCCTAGGAAGCCGTTCCAACTGTTTCCGGCTGGACGTGCGGCCGTGTGTGTGTATGGATGTGTGTGTGTGTGTGTGTGTGTGTGTGTGTGTATGTATGTGTGTATGTATGTGTGTGTGTGTGTGTGTGTGTGTGTGTGTGTGTGTGTGTGTGTGTGTGTGTGTGTGTGCGTATGCGTGTGCGTGTGCGTGTGCCTGTGCGTGTGCGTGTGCGTGTGCGTGTGCGTGTGCGTGTGCGTGTGGCGTGTGCGTGTGCGTGTGCGTGTGCGTGTGCGTGTGCGTGTGCGTGTGCGTGTGCGTGTGCGTGTGCGTGTGCGTGTGCGTGTGCGTATGCGTGTGCGTGTGCGTGTGCGTGTGCGTGTGCGTGTGCGTGTGCGTGTGCGTGTGCGTGTGCGTGTGCGTGTGCGTGTGCGTGTGCGTGTGCGTGTGCGTGTGCGTGTGCGTGTGCGTGTGCGTGTGCGTGTGCGTGTGCGTGTGCGTGTGCGTGTGCGTGTGCGTGTGCGTGTGCGTGTGCGTGTGCGTGTGCGTGTGCGTGTGCGTGTGCGTGTGCGTGTGCGTGTGCGTGTGCGTGTGCGTGTGCGTGTGAGCGTGAGCGTGAGCGTGAGCGTGAGCGTGCGCGTGGGCGTGCGCGTGCGCGTGCGCGTTCGCATGCGCGTGCGCGTGCGCGTGTGTGTGTGTGTGTGTGTGTATCTTGTATGTATATAAATTTTTTTTCGTAGCTTATCTTTAGAATTAATCAACCGATCGAGATGGGCGACATGGCGTTCGAAAGTGTTCATTGAGACTTTTAGATGATCAGATTTTTAAGTCAATCGGTCGAGCCGCTTCAAAGATTTTCTAAAACTAAGAACCCAAAAAAATTCTATAAGTTTTTTCTAAATAACTTTCGAAATATTTATTTAATCAACTCCAGATATTAGAAGCACTTTTTTTACTTAAAAAACAGCGTTGAATGTCACCAAGCAAGTCAGAATCGAACGACGCGTTCAAAAATTATTGGCATTTAAAAATTCCTGAATAATCGGTTTTTTAAATAATTTTCTAATACTTCGATCTATTGACTCAAGACCTCACAAACTACTATTGTACTTAAAAAACTGTTTCAAATGCCTTCAAGCAAGTCAAAATCAAACAACGCGTTCGAAAATTATAGCGCTTTAATAATCTCAAATGATCATTTCGAGCTCAAAAATCAAATAGATTTTAAGCGGGAAGTTCCAGGGATGGTGTGCAGTGTCAACCGTTTTTCAGATTCAGATTCAGATTTTTTATAAGATATTTTATAGGTGACAAACGAGCACATAATCCATCTGATGGTGAATGGATGCTGTGGCTCATAAACATCCATACTTATCCTCGATTAAGGATCAAAATGCAGGTGCGTTTTTACCCTTGAGGACTAAGATGGAATGCCCCGTTTCCAGTAAAAAGGGTCTCCGGTTCTCTACACCCACCGTACGAAACACAGCAACGTTAAGCTTTTTTACGCTGGTAACATGATGTTAGACAAGAAAGTAGTATCAACGTAGGTGGACTCCTAGAAATACAATGAGCCAATCCACCTCGAACCTGCAGATACTTGCATCGCTATTATTAATATTTTACAGATAGTGTATATGTAAACCGACTACTCGGTGAAAAATGCTAGGCATTTAACCACAGTGCCGATGTTCGCAGCTTTGAGTCCCACACGGAACAAGTAATAGCATGGTCTGCAAATAATTTTCCTAGTCTAGATGTTTGTCCAAGTACAATGTTTGTAGCTAAAACACCTCTACAGCACGGATTAATTCCCTACGATGCTAAATGCCGTTAGATAGATTTTCTGGTTAATCTTAGGCTTTTTTATGAATAAAAACAGGGTTGTGATAAAAAAAAAATTTGATGATTTACTCGAAAGTATAACAGTGTTTTGTTTTCAGAACCGTCTCCACTATACGACAACAATCATTACCACGAGGAATGTCTCCGTTGCAACTCCTGTGGGTTAAATCTTACTGGACCCAACCAGGTCAGTACTTCTTAACATATGCATACACTTTTAATTTAACATACGTGTCTGAAACTTAGTCAATACTAGGTATGCTAGCTCTCGATTGGCTGACAATAGGGTTTGCTGTTGTCAGCAATTCGAACACGATTGGATATTTAACATTCTTTTCAGTAGAGATACTTTATAAGAATTTTGGAAACAAACATTTCTTCAATTGTATGAGAATATGCTGTTAAGAGATTATTGATTTTGTATTCAAAAATCATCTTGTTTGTATATTTTTAATTCCAAAAAATCTAATTTATATCAACGAAGTCTCAAGACACTACTTTAAGTAGCAAGTTAAAATAATGCAACCATTTATTAATGATGGTTTCAACTACCAAATTTCGATCTCACCTACCCAATCTGATTGAAGAAGGTAAATTTGTAGAACTGTTAATTAAAAACCCTTTTGTAACTTAATCTATGTCTTAGTATATGTCAAGTTAAGAACATTGAAGTGTTTAGTAACAACTTTAATATAATGGATTTCCGCAAAGTAACACCTGATTCCATTAATTACCTTAAGAACATTTATTGCCAAAATACATTTCATTTGTGTACATATAAAATGTCTTTAGCACACTCCAAGGTTTTAAGCTATTGCATAGCTTCTATCGCGGGCCTTGAGCGCGGGGACCGAATCCAGAAATTCCGTAACGAAAAAAACCTCACGCTCCCCACTCCGACGGGCACGGAGATGTGGCGTTGAAAGCCGTGCTGATTAAATTTTACCTTTTCAAAATCTAAGTAATTTTCATTAACGTAGTATCGTAAAATAGCACATGTAAAACGCGTAATTTCATAATGTCTTCTTGGATAACGTGGCAATTCCTGAAATTAACTAATAAGAAGAGCCAACTTTTTATGTATTATTAGAATGGGTATTCTATCTAATTAAAAAGTGCAAATCAATACACTAAGTATATAACTTCTATAAATAGTGTTCATCTAAATAAATGTTTCAAACAAAGTTTAATTTAAGAAAATTACTTACAATTAGTTTTAAATAACACAAAATTCTAAATATTTTTAATTATTTTTATATTATCACAAAATGAAACCGTCTGTTTGATATATGCTAGATATAAAATAATACACATTTATAGTTCTGCTCAGCCGGGGAGGCACCACGTTTTTGAAAATAAACGTTGTTGTAGTTATTGAAAATAAACGTTGACTTAATTTAATTATATTTAGTAACTATCAAAGACTCATCATAAAAAGTTAAACCCACTCTTTAACTTCACGCTTCTAGTTAAAAAGTGGGTAATCCTATTGTTGGGTAAAATATCTCAATCCGTTTAGTTATTAAATAACAATAATTCAAATATCTTTACAAAGTATCATGTATATTTTATTATTATGGATTAATAGCAACCACCAACCTATCATAGCCTATAGATATCACAGATAACAAGACGTCTGCATTTTATTTATTTTATCGAAAACTCATTTAATTGAATGGCCTTGACGTCCCTGGACTATTGAATAGACCAGTTGTGTTAGTTATAACTAAAAATAATGAACGGTCGGATCGGAGTAGTTTCATATTAAATTTATTATTAAAATATAAAAAATATCTGAGCTACTCTTAAGTCTTTAATTTAAAATTTATCCTTATAAAATAACATGATTATCAGTCTAACTCATAATCCTGTTACTTAATGAGGATTAAAAACGCTAGAAGTAAGAGTACTGTCAAAAATAAAGTCAAGAAGATAGATAGATAAGGTTATTGATTCAATTTTGTAACTGATCTTAAATAAACTTTCACTGACAAAATTTAAATGAAAAAGAAAATACAAATATTTGAAAGGGTTGGTGTATCGCCAGAACAATAAAGATCAATCTTAGAGATGACTTTGTAATATCATGGCTAAAATCTCTAGAATGCGAACAAATATAAACAAACGCAAAATCCGACGAAAGGAATATTAAAAAGGTATACCGTTTTATTTATTTTAATACAAATCAGCATCACAACTTGATAATTTGAGAGTTTTATTAGACGGTCTTACGTATTTAGGTATAGTGTTGTACTATTAAAGTGGTATTGGTTTAAATCTAGGATAAAAACCAGATTGAGATGGTCCAACTTCCTTCAAGGAAAGTTGTCCATTTACGGATCGTTTTCAGCTAAATAGTATTCGGGAGTTTAAAACATAAGTATCTCAGCCCACGCTTTTGATAAAAAGTTTAAGTAAGCAGAACCGAGAGGCGCTGTGAAGAAAGGTTCTCTAGTAGCAGTCTTGTTTTAGAAAGCGCTTTCTTATTCTAGTACTGGATTGAATGATGATCGGATGCGGTAAGTCGGGCGTCGATAGCTTGACGCAGGTAGGATTGAGGCAGGTAGCAATATCTGAGGATGGTGATTAATGTACAGGATCTATGAATTGTTCAAAACCGATAAACGATATGGGATAGTGGATATTCTTATACCGCCGCCATACAGTGATAATTACGTATGGAGGACATTATAATTATAATATAATAAATATTCTTTAACAATTTTCCTAGCCTTCATACGTGGTAGAGCCATGCTGCAGCTATACTAGTTGTAGCACGAATGGATCGGCTCTGCCGGGGTAGGACCACGCTCTCACAGAATACCAGTGTAAAATAGCAGCTTAAGGCTGGTGTGTTTCGTTTAGTGAGTGTAGACAACCGGAAACGACGCATTCCATTATAATTCTCAGGTGTGACATCGCATCTGAATTTTGATCCTTATTTGAGGATAAATAAAGATGTCTATGAATGACAGCATCCTCTTACCATCAGGTGGACTGTGTGCCCATTTGTCACCCTTATTCTATAACAAAAAGTCAAAGTTTGTGTGTGTGTGTGTGTACATAAACTATTTATAGTTTAAATTACCTACACAGGATTAATAAAGTTTCAAATTCAAAAATTATAAATAGACATACTATACCTATTAAGATCTTCGACTTAAATGGATCAATGCCAATCTCGTTGATTAAGGGAGGAAGGGGACCATGGCTGTAGGGGGACAACACGTCAGCATCAGTTGTTTGCGAACGAAGCGGTAGTTTATTTTTATTTACCTTTCAAATTAAATATCATCATCATCATCATTACAGCCCTTCACAAGTCCACTGCTGAACATAGGCCTCCCCCAAGTAATGCCACAAAGCACGGTCCTGAGCCACCTGCATCCATCGACTTCCTGCATGTCTTACCAGGTCGTTACTCCATCTAGTGGGGGGTCGCCCTACACTACGCCTACCGGTACGAGGCTGCCACTCGAGAACCTTTCTTCCCCATCGGTTATCGGTTCTTCGAGCTATATGGCCGGCCCATTGCCACTTCAGCTTACTAATCCGTTGGGCTATGTCGGTCACTCTGGTTTTACTGCGGATATCCTCATTTATGAGTCTATGACACAGGGAAACTCCGAGCATAGCCCTCTCCATAACCCGCTGAACGACCTTGAGCGTCCTCATACGGCCAGCAGTGAAGGACCACGTCTCTGATCCGTAAGTCATCACTGGCAACACGCACTGGTTGTACACTTTAGTTTTCAGAGATTGAGGTATATCTGACGAGAAGATGTGTCGTAATTTCCCGAACGCTGCCCAGCCGAGTTGAATCCGTCGATTGACCTCTCGGTCGAAGTTGGACTTACCTAGTCGGACTATTTGTCCCAGGTAAAGGTACTCGTCAACAACTTCGAGCATAGTGCTCCCCACAACTACCGGCATAGGTGTGACATGTACATTGAACATAATCTTTGTTTTGTCCATGTTCATCTTAAGACCTATCCGTTGGGAGACACAATTGAGGTCATTGAGCATAGTGCTAAGGTCCTCCAGCGATTCTGCCATAAGGACTATATCGTCGGCAAATCGAAGATGAGTGATGTACTCGCCATTGATGTTAATACCGTATCCTTTCCAGTCCAGTAGCTTGAAAACGTCTTCCAAAGCAGCGGTGAAGAGTTTCGGGGATATAACGTCACCCTGTCTTACACCTCTCTGCAGTTGGATAGGTTTCGAACTCTGGTTCTGTACTCGGATAGCCATCGTAGCCCTACTGTACAAACACTTCAGCACCTCGATATACCGATAGTCAACTTGGCACCGCTGAAGGGACTGTAGCACTGCCCAAATTTCGACGGAATCAAAGGCTTTCTCATAGTCCACATACGTCAGGCAAAGTGGCGGGTTGTACTCTTCGGTCTTCTGTACAATCTGCCGCAGAGTATGTATGTGGTCTATGGTACTGAAGCCTTTTCGGAAACCGGCTTGTTCAGGAGGCTGGAAGTCGTCGAGTCTGCGTGCGAGACGATTCGTAATGACTCTCGAAAACAGCACGTAGACGCAGCTTAGAAGGAAAATCGGTCAGTAGTTTTTCAAGAGAGCGTTGTCGCCTTTCTTAAAGAACAAGACCACCGCACTTCTGCTCCACGCCTCCGGAGTAGTGCCACCATGGAGGACGGAATTGAAGAGCTTCTGAAGGACTTCAAGTACCGGTGTTCCACCCGCTTTCAGAGCTCGCAGTGATTCCATCCTGAGTGAGAGGCCTGGTTTAAGTGCTGGAGAGCCATTCTAATCTCGCTCAGACTGACGTCCGGGATATCATCGGAATAGTGTCGGGTAAGACTTGCTCTTGGATCGTTACTCACACTTGCGTGTGGCTCCAACGATGATGTGTACAGCTGCCCATAGAACCTCTCAATCTCACTCAAAATTTCAGGTGTCCCGGAAACGATGCTGCCACACTCAGTCTTCAGCTTTGACAGTTGGCTCTTTCTGGCAGACAGATCTCTGGCAAAGACTTTGGAGCCCTAGTTCCGCTCGATCGCTTCTTTAATACGAGCAGTATTAAAATTGCGTAAGTCTTGCCGCATGCATTTGGAGATCTGTCTGTTCAGTTGCCTGTATGCTGTCAAATCTGTTGACGATTGCAGCCTCATCTCCCGTCTAACAGCCATGAGATTAAGAGTGTGATCGGAGAGTTTTTGTGTTCTT